CTGATGGCGATTTTTGATCAGATGGTGTAAAATATTTACGTAGTACTTCATAAGAATGAAAATTTAATGCTACATATGGCGCAACTCCCTATTACCATATAAAAATTAATATTAATAATTGTAATAATAGTGTAATAATAGTAATAAGAATAATATAATGATATTGATAATATTACTATTAGAGTAGGTGATAAACCTCTATACAATGCGGTTACACCTCCTTCATTACGATATATTGATTTCATTGTAGACCAAATACCCGGTAACTTTCTATTGGATTTTTTCCCACTTATGCTAGCAGACTGAACGGAAAGTCTCGTACGAACAATATCAAGCGGATATGTACACGTCACAGACGTTATACCGGCTAATGCACCTGCTAAAAGTCTACGCGTTGCGTCAAGTTCAGTTTTTCCATCTTCTATAAGTAACTATATAAAATTTGTTTTAATATATAATAATTTAGGAAAAGAATAATAATAATAAATAAAAATAATATTTTTACTAACTTTTTTATATTTTTCATATGCTGCAAATTGAACAGCACTATATGGAACAATTCTTATAACATTGGTACCATTTCCTCTCAACATCCCAATCCATCCTTCTTCTTGCCATATTTTTACCAATGTTGCTCGAATCCCTTGATATGATGCAGGTTCTGGTCCTTGGACCTAACAAAATGAGTAATAAATCCAATTGAGAAAGACCAGTGATGATGATGATATTTTTTGATGATATTTTTGACGTTATTTGACGATGAAAGAGAAGAACTAATTAATTATTATAAAAACATCAACCAAATGGACTCTTAGATAGACCCTTTTATATATATATATATTATATTTTATATTACTATTATTTATTTTTTTCGATTTGTGTATATATATATATATATATATTTTTTTTTTTTAATATAATTTTGATTTTTTTTTTATTTATTTAAATAAATTATTACTTTATGATGACGGCATTATTTGTTGTGACAAGAATATATAAAACGTATATAATTATATTAAACCTTAAATATATATTAGATGTGTATATATTGTATATACACACGTTACGATACATACTTGGAACAAAATTTTCATTCTTTCTAAAGGACTAACAACAGTTCTGCTTACTGCCCCAGCTACTCCACCAGCTATTAAATGTTTAACCTCTGGCGTATATATATAATTTATCCAATGCCTTTTTCTTTTTGTTGTTGAAAGATCAGTTTTTGTAGAATCCTTTAATTTCATAATAGCTGTGGTGGTTGGATTATTGGTTGTGGTGGTTGTAGTAACAGAGCCACTGCTGCTTTCAGATGTATTTGGTATCCTCCAATTATTTGAAAAACTTCCAATTCATCAAAACTACTTTTATCTACTATATTGATGTTATTATAAGCATGTGGAGATGGATTATTACGAATAAGACTATCTGTTGTAAATAGAAAATCCTGACTATAACCAAAATTAGGTAAAAGAGAAGAATCACAATAAATTGCATTCTGATAAAATTCATTATTTTTAATATAGCTAACTTCTGTAGTATTGATATCATTTCTATTACTTATATTAAATATAAAAATATCTATTGTTGTTTTATAACCATTTCCATTCCAATTAAGTGGATTATAACCACCAATTATTTGATCTGAATTTTGTATTTTACCAACTACAAGAGTTTTGTCGATATTATCACACTTTTGATGAAAGATATTTGCACTTAAACCATCTCTACTACTGCGATATAAAAGTTTAAATTCATATTTAACTTCTCTGAGTGAATTATATCGTGGGTTTTTTCTATCTATCCAACTTGCAAAAAGTAAAGTAAGCTTGTCATTAATTGTCAATGATTCAAGCTTTGGAATAAGTTTTATATTTCTTGATGGTAAAAAGTTTAATGGTTGTTGTCTATCAGGAACTACATAGAGTTGTAATAGGTTGTTCCAGAGAAACTCATCAAGAAGTTTCTGATAAGGTACAATTTTATCAAAAAAATCATCTTTAGAAATATCTTGAAATCTTATTAGAGAAATAAGCTCCTTTATTGTGTTGCCTAAATCAACAAAATTTTGTGATAAACAATTTTTAAGATTGTTATTATTGATTTCTGGATGTTTTGATAATCCCCATTTAAGAACATTTTCCCAAATAACTATCTCATCAACAGAAAAATCATCTCTTTTGAGAATTTCCAATAAAATTGGTTTTTCCAATGACTCAAAATCATTTGACTGAAATAATTTTTCACAAAATTTTTCTAGATAGGTATTTTTCAATTCCTTAAATTTTTCATTAGAATAAATCAATTGTAGAATTTTAACTGGACTTGCTTTTACATAATCTTCATGTTTTTTAATAAAGTAATTCATTGTATATTCATAAAGTGATTCAAGACCAAGTTCATCAGCTGCAATTAATATTTCTAATACATCAACTCCAGTAAAATTGTCTAATTCAATTTTACAAGTATACAAAAATCTTTTAAAAATAATAAATATATATTACTAAATAATATATTCAATCATAAAAATAAATAAATAATACAATAATAGTTAGTTTAAACTTACTTTAGAATATTTTTAAAAGGTTGTTCATTAATATTTACTTTTTTAACAATATAATAACCATTTTTTTTTGTTGCATTACTTAATGCAATGCTAAAAAATGGACAATGAGCACATATGATGGATGCATGTGCATGAATTTCTTTTATGTTTGGTTCTACACCTACATATATTTTTACATCATAAAAATCTTCTGTATTTAATAATCTTTCATTCTCGTTAAAATATTTTTCTGATATCGTTGAGTCCATTTTTTGAAGAAAATGAATGGCCAATCAAATGATCATGACAATACCCCCAAAATTATAGTCAAATTCCTGATTTAGTATTTAGTCATTTAAAGAAAAACAGGGTGCAGTTGTAATACATATAAAAATTTTTTTTTTTTTGAAGATAAAAATGGGTCGGATAAGCTTGTTTAGAATATTCAATGTTTATATATGTTATTAGATTGTCTTTGCTTTTTTAAACTTTATAAAGATGGTTGATGTAAAATTAGAAGAACTACATTTTTGAATTTAATCCTAATGAAAATAGCGTTTATTTAATATGATAATGGACAAAAGGCTTACACACGTTTAAAAGCTAATTGCACAAAAACGGCAGTGTTGTCAAAATTGCCAGTCCAATCAACGCAGTAAAAAAAGTGGCTTAGTTGTACATGTATATTGGATCAGTCCAATTGGTTTGGACTGGACTTATTAGACTGGGACTAGACTTTATTTGGACTTTGTCACACAAAGATAAAAAATTTCTCAATTTTATTACTGTAAAGAATGTAATCAATCACACACAACTTATTACTCTTTCAATGCCTCAAAGAAGTAACCAATATAAAAAATACTTTCATGCTTTACCTGATAAACCAAATGGTTACAATCACTTGGGTATCTGCATTGCTTGTAAGAACTCTAATATAAATATCAATGAATTGAAAATAACTTTAACTAAAAAACTTGTCATAATCATTTGTTGAATTGAAACTACAATTGAAAATGAACTTTATAATAACAGTGAAGGTTTTATTAATACATCATATAAAGAAATAAATAATTTACAAAATCTTTCTACTCCAAATAAAAAAAGACTTGGGTATGAATTTTAGTGTATTTATTTATTAAAAAAGAATAAGATAAAAATAATAACTTTATTTAAATATCATTAATACAAATAGAAAGTCCAACTGTAAATCATATCTTTCTCATTCTATATATAAAAGATGATGATGTGAAAATTTTGATTTTTATTTGTCATTGTTGATTTAAATTCTGAAATATGATTGGCTACCCCTTTAGAATTGGTCCAGAGTCCAATAAGTCCAATTCCCAACACTGCAAAAACGTCCTTATTAACCAAATTATATGTGCATAGTTTCATATTTCTAACCTTTTTATTTTATTAAACTGATGGATGGCTAAAAAAATAAAATTCTGACCAAAAATTTGATTGCATATAATAACTAGATCTGAAGTTTTGACATGCGATTCTAAAGCTCCGCATGAACCTGCTCGAGCCAAGCCAAGCTTATAAACAACTGCCTCAGCTCAGGCTCGGTTTGGCCTGTTGGCTCGCAAGCTCGATTAATACGATCAATATTATAAACGTGTTTCATTTGGAATAGTAATTAATTTTTGATTTCTAACATTATATGTGTATTCTTTTTTCTTTAAAAATGTATAATGACAATAATAAACAATAATAATTATGATGATAGTCATAATAAGGCGATTGAATTGCTTGAATATGATAGTGAGTATAAATATAATGAATGTGAATATAATGATGAATATCGGATGAGCACATAAATGAAAGCGTAAATCAAAGTGCAAGTGCAAGTGGAAGCATAAACGAAAATGTAATTGGAAGTATAAATGAACAATGAAAACAAAAGTAGTAGTATTTCTTTCTCTCCCTCTAGGAAACGAACTTTAGCTGCCTACAAACATTATTATTTTTCAAATGGTCAACGGCATTGTAAATATTGCAGGTAATGTTGGCGAATTATACAATAGTTTATTATTTTTATATGGTTGTTTTTTTAATTGACAATACCAACAATTTTGGTGATTTATCAACAACAACACTACAGAGACACTTTAATAATAATCATTCAAAAAAAATACGGAAGAGCAATATTAAATTTTGCAATTTTAATAATAATTTACCAGAAAAAGTAATTTAAAAATAGAACATTTAATTTTTATGTTAAATCACTTAATTTGGATTTATTACAAATCCAAATTCGAAATAAAAGTAGACCTCTTTCAATATAAACTGTTTTTTTAAAAAAATAATTTTTAATTTATTATCAATTAAAAAACACGCTCCTTTTATTCTTTTTAAAAACAAAATTTATTTTATTATTAATTAAATCACGCTTCATTTAAAAATGATGTTGAAAGATTTATTATTTAAGAACTCGTGTAAAACTGAGCCGATGTCAGTTGTATTATGTAAATGGTTTACTGTTGTAGTCTTTACATCGATATCATTAGCTATTTTGGTCGTATTATCAGTTGGAGTACGTAATGATAAACCAACAATTAAAACACTTATTCTCCAATGGAACAGTTTCCTCTACCAGGTGAATTTGATTGATGGGTTAGATCATATATGAATGTTGAATAATGATCATAATCATAACCATCATCACCTTATTATTATTATGTTGACTTTTTAACTAAAATTATTTATTATATAGTTCTTAGTGTAAGGTTCACGAAACGATTTACAATAAATTGTGAGCTCAGGGAAAAAAGTAAAATTATATTATGCTGTTGTGTGCTATATATATGCATTGTATTATACATATAATTGAATTTATTTATTTATTTTTAGCAAGACTTACAATTTGTCTTGAATATATAACTCAACCTATTCATTATAATAATAATATCTGGGAAGGAGGGTTTTCGCCAGCTAATTTATCATTTTCCAGCTCTTCTCAATATCAAGAAATAATTCTTTTCATTACAATTACTGATCCGTCATATAATTATACTGTGTATTTTAATACAGTAGCTATTAATATGCACGATTCAGGTAAAAAATATATAATTTATTAATTTTAACATTAACAGATTGACTGGTTGATCGATCGGTTCTTTGTTTTTATTAGAATATCTTCCGTTTGACGATCCATATAAGAATACATCTAATAGTGTCTATTCAGCTTTTAACACGGCAATTGAACACAGAAACGAACATGGCTTGGGAGTAACAAAGATGCGTTCCCGATTATTATACATTAACATCACGGGTTCCACATACCTATTGTATGACAAGGTTAATAAGGAGCTTTTTTTAATTATATTTATTTCAGATATTCTTCATTTTTCTTACAAAACCATATTTAATATTTGATATAAAGACATGTTTTTAAAAATTGTGAATATGGCTTTGTTTTTATTTTTTGCAAGGATAATCAATTTATTTTCACAATTCACATTACCAAATTATAATATTTTTCGAGACTCACCATTAAATTTAAATTCATGTAACAAATAGTTTGAGTTGATAATTTTTGGATAATTTTACGATGATCTATTGTAAATAATAAAATCAGCCTAATCAAAGGGAATCCCAAAAAGTAAATTTTTGAGTTTCACGGAAACAACTGATTTCTTTAAATATCAAGAAAAAGAACAAGAATAAGAATAAGAAGGTAGGGATAAAGGATATAGATATTGATTATCATGAGAGCAAAATAATTTTTTTGTGAACGAATTTTTTAAAAAAAATCCTGGTTGAATTTTGATTCTTTGATTTTTTGTATATTATAATATAGATCAAATTGAAATTTTCTTTTACGATTCGATTAATTTTTTTTTCCTAAATAAACATTAGTTACTTTTTTTTTTTAATATGCAATCCTGAACAATGTTAATTTATAAAATTCACTCTCTCTATAACAGTTTTCACTCTATAACGAATTGAGAATTTGGGCCCAATTAAAACTATCTCACACGTCTCATGTACTGTTTATAACGAACGGTGTTTCTCTATACCAGATTTTTTTGCTGAAACAGAATGGCCGTTATAAAGAGAGTGAACTGTATATATGTGCTTTGTTTTATTATATCGTTAATTCAAGAATTTCAAAGAGGTATATAGAACACACCTTTGCAGATCATGCCTGTCCTTGCTTTTGTTTTTTCTGTTTTTAAGCCACATTCATTTTTGTTCTTAACAAAAAAATTATACATATACAAAAATAAAATCAGATAATTTTCTTTTTTCGTACAAGTTTTTTTATTTGTCGAACATAATCCAAATCGTACTGTGCGCGCAATAAATAATCGTGTAGTTACCCACAAAATTCCCAAATTTTTGTTATTATAATTAATATATAGGTAAAATAATAAGATGATTGTGCGTAATAATCCAACTTCTTAAATAGGAATAGATGACGCTTTGGTAGTAACAAACAAAATACAAATAAATTCTGCGAAAGTAATTAAAAAAAACTTGGATTAGGCTTGATTATGTGTATAACCGGTTTTTTTCATGTCTCACATATCACAACTTAATATTGAATATATAATAAGTGTAAATAAATAAATGACGTTTCATTTTTTCCCTGTTTCTTTTTATTAACAATATCAATAATTTAAAATCTTTTTTTCTAAAATATGAAAAACTACAAAAAATACGATGTAATGATCAGAAAAGGATTATTATTTGATTCGATAAATGAATCATATAAATCATATAGACCAGATTTTCCACCTAATATTAGTACTAATGATATTGTCGGAATGGCAAATCAAAAGTCTCGTAAATTCCCAAATGCTTTTATTGTTTATCGAAAGATGACAAGCCACGGGGCAAAGTTGAAGCATCACAAATTAACAGTCTCCCAGATTTCATCTTTAGCGGGAAGACTTTGGAAGGAGGAGCCCGACTTTGTTCAAAAATATTATAGAGATTTAGCTTATGAAGCTGAAATAAAGCATAACAAACATAAAGGATATTTACATATAATAAATTATGATTATAATTATTATAAAAACAATAATAAACATAGCAAGTTCTTAATTTGACAATAATGTATTATTACTTTTCCGATAATTAATATAATAACGAACTTTCAAAGATATCATTATCATTATCATTATCATTATCATTATCATCATCGTGAATCATTCAAATCATCGCTATTATAGTGATATATTTTATGAAACGAGTTAAAATTTTACGATGATTATGGGAATATGAAACGAAAATTTTACAACTTTTGAATAATCATCAAATAAAATAGTTTATTTTTTTATATCTAGTTTTCCAATATTAAATAAATCTTTTCTTTATTAATTTATTTATATATATATGTATATATATATATATATATATATATATATATATATATATACATACATACATACACACACACACACATATATACATATATACAGTTAAACAATGCTTTTTTAAAAAATAAAAAAAAGTTTGAATTGAAAATTGATTTTTCATTTTCCTTCTCACACATTACACGATAATAAGTAAAAGGAGTAAATGTTAACGATTGAATTCTATCTATATATCACTAAGGTATCATTGGAATTTTCTTCTCGCGTCATTCTTCCAGAATCGTTGGTCTCTATCTCCTCATTATAGATGTCAGTCAGTATACGTGTATTTATTGTTTTTCTCCATTAATTGACATCTGCGGTTTTAATTGATATTCAGCAATACACGTGATTGTTTTTTCAAATAATGCAATGTTCTATACATAATTAATTATATTCAAAAAAAATTTTTTTTTGCGAATTTTAATTTTTACCAAGTTATTTATTATTGGTTATATTATGATAGTGTTTTCAAGAAATGAAAAAATCAAAAACTTGGCCACAATGATAATTTCAGCTTCTATTTCATCTAAAAGGAATCGGTCTGCTTTTTTTTTATAAATGATAAAAAGAGAAACAAATTGACGTTTGAATGTGATTTAAATTGATATATATTTATTTATTTTATTACAAATTAAAATGTCCAAAAAATACAATGATAATATGGATATTAATTACAATTGATGGTGATGGAAATGTGGGAGACGAAAACGATAAAAGTGATAATGATGATGAAACAATTAGAATAGAAGGCGGTGAAGAAGAAGGTAGTGGTAGTGATAATAATAATATTGAAATTTATTATTATATTTTTGGTACAACAAACAATTGAATCGTCCAAGTAATGATATACTAAGACCATACATAAAGAATAGAGTTGCTCTACATGCAATGCATAATAAAACATGTAGGCATATATAAAACCGATTCACATATGGCGCCGAGAGAGACCGTCGAAGGAAGCTCCACCTTGCTGTCCGAGTTGTGGTGGAGTGTTGAGCGTCGTTGGTGTTGTATTTTATGTGAATCGGAAAATAATAAATCTAATTTTATAATCTTTGAGTATTAGATTTAAAAAAAATTATTCCACATACAAATATGCAGCTGCTTACATCAGGTTTAATATGAACATTTCTGACTCATATAAACCATTTATGTAAACAATACTACAACTCTATATGACAGCAACAATTATATTGCAATAGGCAAGTGCTGCATATTTGGAGGCTATGTTGCAAAGTGAGGTCTCTTTGCAATGGTGCAATTTATGCTAAACTGACAAGCTACCTTTCTCCCCTTGTAGCCCTCCCTGTGAGGGCCAGAGTTTAGATTGCACCATTGTAGATTAGGAAGGTAACTAGTCATCTTAGCCTTTAACCCGTGGAATGTTTTGAATAGTTAATCGCTGTTGTTGTTGTCGTCGTTGTCGTCGTTGTCGTCGTTGTCGTTGTTGTCGTTGAACCGTCAAGATCGCTGGGTCGCTTTTAGAGATAAATAGAGCGAGAAAATAAATATTTGTTTCTACGTCGTATAAATATATATGTAAAATTATTTTAATTTCCACCTTAAGGGTATTTGCATGCCGTTTGTATGGTGATTTTTGTTCTATGTATTAAAAGGGATAAATAAATTGGTGAAAAAAATAAATAAATGGAAGAAAAAAATAAATAAATGGAGGAAAAAAATAAATAAATGGAGGAAAAGATAAAGAAGCGGAGGAAAAAAAATAAAGAAGTGGAGGAAAAAATAGAAATATTCTATTATTCAGTCGTTTGTTATTATAATAATAAAAAAATGAGCAAAATTTAATTATGCCTATTTATATATTTGATTTAAAGAAATTAACCAAAAACTGCTTACAAACGTGACACGCATGATTTTTGATATTAATAATCAAAATTTTGCTCAATTCATTCAAGTTTATAAAAGCCACATTCATTACATAAACACTATTGTCGACGGGTTTAAAATATCGTCGTGTATATTAATGTATTAATATAAATTAATAAGAATTACTTTCGCCATGCTAAAAATACATTTAACGTGACTCTCCTTTCAAAAGTATTTTATAAAATCTTGATTAAAATAACCTTTTATGTCTATTTGAAGTTAATATTAAATGTTAATACGCGAAAAAAAAATACAATTCATATAATCAGATGTTTATTTGTTTATGTATCATTTATTTTTAAGAGGTAAAGAAAACATAAACAAAAACAAAAAAATATCAGATTGGTTAGGCTGCCTTTTCTTTTCATGTGCTGTTGGTCCTTTCTTGTTGTTATCTGACGTTTGTACAAGTTTTTTTTAGTTAGTTGTTAATTTTGTTTAAATTCATATTGTCAATTACATTCGCAAGAGATTATAAATTTTATAATAATTGACAACATAAATTTAATAAGTATAACAAACAATACAACTAACTACATTGGAAAAAATATGAAGATTATTTCGAAATTTGGCAAGCCAAGATTACACGATCGCATCCAAATAATTTTATTTTATTTATTTTTTTGGGTATTTCTTATCTCCATATTTAAACATAAAGCGAGGAGGCTTTACAATGAATTGTCAAAAAGACGCAAGGGTGGGACCAGTATAACAACATGAAAACTCTTACTTACAACATCACCCTAGTCGAATTTACTCTTGCTCGTTTGTTATTTATTATTCCTACGAATAGAACTCTACTATGGCTAGAAAATAATTAACTAAAGAAGTGAAAAATCAAAATGTCAATTATTTCTGCTCCTACTATACCAAGAAAGTAAATGTGCATTTGTACTTGTAGTGCAAATAAAACCTCTGTGACAGAGATAAGTCACATTGATATCCATTCAATGTTTAAAAAAAGGGAAAAATTGATTATCAAACCTTAAACAAGGCTATTTTAATCACGTGACAACGAGGCATGACGCTTATGTTACTAGAGAGTTTATACCAAGTGAAATCAAATCTATTTAGAAGAACAAGAAGCTTATGCAAAAAAATAATGAAAAAATCCAAAGAAAAGTGAGGTGTGATAATATCATACAATGGAAAATGGAAATAGGAATTACAAGGGAGCAGATTGACAATAATAATAATAGTAAATAACAGTAGGAATAGTGGTAGAATGATTATTAGAAACAATAGTAGGGATTATGATGATGATAATAATAGTGATGATGTTAGAAGTAATACTAGGAACAATAATAGTACATAGTAATTGTCAAACCCAGTCAATCTGAATCCTATTAATCCGTTAAATAGATATATCCAAATTTGACCTGCTAAACAGTAGATTTTTACTTTTTAACACGTAAAACTCATTGATCCATTTTTTTTCTGAATTTTTATTTAATCAATCAGATACTGATCTTCAAGTTTTGAAGTAATCCGAAGAAAAATGGCTGTATAAACGCCTTCGGGTTGACGTAGTTGCCTATGTAGTAGCAATAGAAGTAATGTTAGGAATAATAATAGTAATAATAAAAATGAAATTGCAATAATTATTACATAAACATATATTAATATACAAAACTCCATAATTGCCCTTCTTAATAAATGATCGTTGCCATAATTGGGTTTTTATAGTTGCCATAGTTACCTTTGTAATTATTTGAACTTTTTGAGTCAAATGACATATAGTTATTTTGTGTTCATTCATATAATAATAAAGAATATTGATCGAGAATCCGTAATTATTTCCATGATCAATTTTCCTCCAAATACAATTACGGCAAACAACTATAGTGTGTATAACACTACCATCCATGCATGATCGAATCAAAAAATACTTGAGTTCTGCTTGATATTCTGGTCAGTAATTTTAATAAATAAAGCGTTTATTTGAATTCTTCTGTTGTAATAGTAAAAGGCTAGAAGGTACATTTATAAATGTTGTAAAGAGCCTTGTAATTGATTTAACTCTCTTTGCAAACCTAGCTTGTTGTTAGTAGATTGAATTCGTTGTCTTCTGTATTTGAACTTTCAGGTCTTCTTGTTGAGTAAAATAATATTAATGATGACAATGATAATTCTGAAAAAGAAAAACATCAGAAGATAGATACCACACAAAATCAGAATAAGTGAAATAAGAAGAGATTCATCATTCTTCGAATCTAATTATAGTGGTCCTTTTATCTCTATCTTCTCATCGATGCACAAATGTTCAGAACTTGCATTACTATCTATCGGTTTGTCTAATTCTGAATGTGTTTCTCTGTTACTAAAATTATTATTTGTCTCTCCTGTAATAGTTGTATCGTAATTACTAATCATGTTCTTTTGTCTGATTTGCTTTTAAGATCAATAAGTTCTAGATAATACAAAAAAAAAATTTGATGACATCAGAAAAATGCTGATCAATTTACATTTCATATCAAATGATTTACAAAAAAAATCAAAAAAATATTAATTTTGAAAAACACAAACACTTTTTGATAATTTAATTTTAATTAAGTAATCAAAACCAAATAGTGGCATTCATGAATCTATTCAAGATTTTATTAATATGCAATCAATAAAGTTTTATATATTAATTTCACGCTAAAAATTTTCCGTCTTCATATTTTATTGATATGCATTTTGAATTTTAAATTCTAATACAAAAACTTCTATATAATGAAAAAATAATGCTTATTATCTCCAATAATAAAGTCTTTTCTTTATCGAACTTGGAAATAGATCGGAAATGATTTACAATAAGTTGCACGTGACAAAAATTGGAAATAACCAGTCCAAAGATTCTAACATTTATCGTTAATCCTAAAATTCTATTTAAAAGAGAGAATTTAAAATCATTCAAAAGTAACTTGGAATTTTTCTTAAAAGAAAGGTCCCGGTTATTTTCAAGGAATCTTAAATTGGAATAAGAGACTATATCATCATGAGTTTCCAGAATAAGTTTAATGAATCATACTTTTAATTCTGAAATGAACATAATAATAGTTAGTTTCAAAAATAAAGCACAAATACATATTTGCGAAAATTTTTGGTATAGTTGGCAGTTATCGCATAATCAACATTAAAATTTATAAAAAAGGAGAAAAAATAATGTGAACGAACGAACCTTCTTCCTTTAATTAATAATAATTAATGATAATAATAGTAATTAATAGTAATAATTAATAGTAACAACAGTAATTAATTGCAGTAATAGTAATAATAGGAATAGGAATAGTAATTAATAGTAATTAATCATAGTAATAATCATAGTAATTAATAGAGTAATAATTGTGGTAGCAGCAACAATTGTAGTAGTAGTAATAATAATAATAATTAATAGTAATTAATCATAGGAATGATAGTAATTAATCATAATAATAATAATAGATCAAGATCATCTAATTTTTTTGGTAGAGAATCAGAAGAAAAAATTAATAATAATTAGTAATAAAGTAATTCAATATTATTAATACAGATGAATTAGATGCAGTTGGTTGTTGACGATGTTGTGGATGATAATGTTGTAGTGGCGACAGTAAAGTTCCATGATCTTTTGGAGGATATGGCTGAAATTCTAAAGGACTGGCCTCTTGATTATGTATAATATTTGGTGTTAGGCATTAAAAAATGCGTGTAATAATGCAATAATCTCAAACCATCTGAATCAAAATGACCTGAATATCATTTTTAGATTGCGAGTAACCCCGTTTTTTAACTTCAATTGAAGAATCTATATTATTATTAGTAATTGTTGTAAATTTCTTTGAATGATATAAAATATAAAAATTGGTAAAATAATTTATTTAGGTATATAAAACCCTTTTTCGATATAGTAATAGAATGAATTTGAGTCTGCTGAGATTGTTGTATAGATGAGGATGGATTTGACAAAAGGTGAATGAATGTTATTATTGTCTTTTTGTGCCAGTCTTCAATAGCTTAAACTCATGAAATGAACCATTAACAACCTCTTGAACTTTACGACCAGGATTAGATAAAATTTCAAAAAAGACAATGTTGATATATTAATGTGATATCAAAAATATGTTGTATAATCATATGATTAATTACTTTATTATTATTGAAGGTTCAAATTGAATATTTGTGAGGTTTATTAGAGAGAAAGACTTTTCATATAAAATTCCATTTACATATATACAACCAATAAAAATCAAATTTTTTTAAAAAATTATCTTTATGCATTATATAATAATATAGTATACATAGTAATTCAAAATGGCACAACGTCTTACTTACAGACGGCGTTTAAGTTATAATACCAAATCTAATAGAGTGAAGTAATCAAGACACCAGACGAGTTTTGATAATTATAAACTTGTGAAAAATTTAATCAATTTATTAATCAAATTTTTTATTAATATGTTTGCAGGTGGTAAACTTACATGGCTTTACGAAAAGAAACCTGCCAAAGGTCTTCATTGTGGTGACTGTGGGATTAGAATTCCTGGTGTAATATATATATTATATATTTTGATCACAAGACTTTTTCAATTACAAACTTTATTTATTCCTAATTTTATTTTGGATGTAAAAACCATCACAGATCCCTGTCCTTCGACCACGTGAATACGCAAGAATTTCTAAACGACAAAAGAAAGTACAACGTGCCTATGGAGGTAGTCGTTGTGCTAAATGTGTTAGAAATCGCTATGTGTAATCAATGTATAAATCATCAAAAAATCAAAAACTAATTAAACTTAATAATATATATATTTGTATTTGTATAGCATTGTCCGGGCATTTTTAATTGAGGAACAGAAGATTATCAAAAAAGTTCTTAAGGGTCAAGCTAAACCACCCAAGAAGAAGAAGTAATAATATTAATTAGTACGATGATTTTAATAAATTATTTTTTCAACTTAATTATAATTGTGTGATATTAATTTTTATCATTCCAAAAAAAAAAATAAATCTTTTTTTTTTCATGAATTAAATAAAACTCATCAGATCCAGGGAGAAAATGTAACCTTTATATCTTGTGTGTTCCTATTTATTATGGTTATATGATTCTTATCAATGATAAGCTTATATCCTGTCATAATTTTGATATTGTAAATATTGCTTGTAGTGAATCTACATTGAGATTATTCTTGGACTTGTTTTTGTGAGACATAATATTTTGTATAGTGACGTATATTATTATCATCAAAGGATATATGCTGCATGACTGCTTTTTCACATATTCATAGACGGATCGTCAATGAAACCCTATGTAAACAATCGTAAGAACCTGAGATATCGAATCATATGTAATATTTTGCGGAATTTTCAAAAAACCAGGTTCGAGTACTTTCTTCCGGATATTGATGTTAACACATTTAATATCGAGCTCAGGTTGTTTGCTGCCAACCCTCCGGTAATTTGTTGCCTCGTACTTTTTTTTTGCTCGAGTCTGGGCTAATTCGCTTTCCGGCTCATAGAGAAAAAGTTTTTGTTGTATGTGCAAGAGCTTCATTGTGCACGGCCTTGGTATTATCTATTTGTTATCTGGGCGATGTGATATTTTTTACTTTAATGAACAAATTTTTTCTCCTACAACGACCACGAAGGATCAAAATATAATATGCTAAGGCCGTTTCAACCCGGGTGGGAGATTATGAATAAATGTGTGCCTGCAAGCGTCGCTTATTCATGATATACTTCTCAAAAGTTAAAGGAAAAAACCTGGTGCCTCAGATACATCCTACCTCATCCACTCAATATTTTCGAGGTCGAGTGAGACTGACGCGGGATTTATATAAATCTTGACACCCGAATTCGATGTGTTTGATTTTATGGTTGGTCTTGCTTGGCCTATTATTCTACGCCTTGCAACAACAAATTCAGATTACTAGATTCTAGCCTTACAAGTACTTTCCAGCATTACCTGTTTGCCTATCATGAAAACCGGAATTTATGCTAACTCCACTTTTCTGAGCGAAGGCATTTGAAGTGGATATCCGATACAGTTTATAGAATTTCTCGGCAAAAAAAAAAGATTAGTTGTTTTATTTTTTGTCTTTCCGTCATGGTTTTTATTGCATTGGATTTAATCTTCTATATACATCCAAGCACACACATATACACACGATATCTATCTTCTTGAAAAGCGAGCGATTGGAACAAATAATCAATCAAACACCAACTTTTGATGATGAGAAGAAGACGATCTTATCGATATTATTTGCAGGATAAATCTCAACAGTTTTAATATTTGTCACTTGTTTATAATATTATGTATAATATATGAAAGAATTATTTTAAAAATCTATATATAATTATTAAATTTTAATTCTAAAATTATATTAAGTTCTATCTACCAATTATATTATATTATGTTTATTATATTTATGTTATTATATAAAAAAGAGTTTAATAATAAATAACGATGATAAGGTTAAGTGACAAGAACAAAAATTAAGAAAAAGAATATTATAACTGCAAATATTTTAACTACTAGCCATCTATTAGATGAAATGCTAGCATAATATTTTAGCAATTCTTTTTGTGCACCCTCAACATGATTTTGTATTTCTTCTGTATTTGCATCAATTCTTTTTTATTATATTAAAAATAAAATATGAGATATATTAGCATGTGATTTTTTTTTAAATTTTTAACTCTTCTTATTTATTATTAATAATTAATTACCTTTGAACAGTTTCTCGTTGTTCTGCAACCATTGTGGCAAGTTGTTGGAAAATATTTCCAAGTTCTGAAATTGTAGATTCGATAGATTCAATTGCTGATGCACGGCTATGAATATAATTGTCCTTTATTAATCAAATATACAAGTTATTAATTATAATCATCAAATATTTACAATATGAATTTTCTTTAAAATATTTAGTAGGTAAGTTACCTGTTGTTCTACTAGCTGTAATTGTTGTTGCTGTTGATGAGATTGTCCGGTTGACATGTCAAGTGCAAGAAAATCAGTATTTCGATTATCATTACGTTTTTGTGTTTTATATAATGGTGAATCACCTAATTAATAATGACATGATAAATTAATTAACAGTAATTATAAAGGGAATATATACATAATATTTATAAATAAATATATTTACTAACCTGATGGTGTATTATTTGTATGTTGATTACTCGAAAACATAAATTGTTCCCTCCTATCTTTACTCTCTTTCATATTCTATTATACATTTTATTAATTGTTTTATTAATAAAAAACGAATTAAACATTATAAAACATAATTAAATATTATGAGACATACTTGAGTCCTGATTTCCAATACATCTTTAAAACTCATACTTGTATTTGCTAATTTAGATTGCAACATCACCACCACATTTGAAGAATGTTCATCTGCTTGTTTATTATTCTTTTTATTTTCTCGTACATATTGTTGAAGAAGTGCTATTTGTTTGTTTAACTTTGCAATATCTTGTTTAATTATATATGTCAATTCCTAATTAATTAATTATATAGAAATAATTTATTAATTAATGAAGCTTATGACAAATTAAATTTATTTAGTCATGGAGAGAGAAAGAAGAATGAATTCAACAGAATATAAATCATTTTTTTCTTTATTATAAGAATTGTTTTTACACAAAGTGAAAAAACTTACACTTATTTCAACTGGACGATCGTCAAATAATGTTTTTCTTTTTGCCACTTGTATATAAAAGAATTTTTTTATAACAATTAGTGTAAATATATAAATTAATAAAGTATATTTTTATTAATCAGAGAAAATTTTTTTTATTAAAGAAAAAACTTACAATTCGTCAATTTCTGTAATTTGGCTGCTGTAGAATTAATATCTTTGCCAATTGCAGATGCCATCCTTGAAAATTCAGTTTTATTTATTCCAACAAGACCGTTACTCCGACTTCCATTTGTTAATCTACCAATATTACTATCACTACCACTACTATTATTACTAATTAAAGAGCGTCTTTGTTCTAAATTATTTCTTGCTTGAAACCCATGACTGTTTGTTGACCATGATTTAATTGATTCAACAGCTGCGTGGAATTCAGATGTTCTATCTTTTAATGACATATTTTTAAAAGAATGTAATTTAATTAAAAGTTTGTTTGTTTTATTTGATTTAAAAGGTTTTAGCGTTTTAAACAATGGAACCTTTTTTCTTTATTATATATAAATTTAATTCCCATTTATGTCTGTGATCTACAAAACATTTTGAAAATTTTTTTTTATTTTTATATATAAAAATGGGTAAAAAAAAAACCAAGAGAAAAATCAAACCCAAGAAAAAACTTGTACTTGAAACACAATTTGATTGTGTGATTTGTAATCACGAGAGAAGCGTCGATGTGAAAATGTATTGTATTTTTAAAAAAGTGACTTCAAAAATCAATTGCTTAGATGTATATACATATAATCGAAATATTTTTGCATTATACTTTAGGCAAAAAGAAGCAAAAGTTGGAATTTTATCATGTAGAATATGTAATTCAGCTTTTCAAGCAACAATAAATCGTAAATATACTTCAACTTGATCAATGAGATTTTTTAAATACCATAATAATAAGAATTATTATTATCATTCTTTTCTTTAGCATTAAGTGATCCAATAGATGTATATTCTGAATGGGTCGATTATACTGAAGCAACTATGGAAAGTAGAAAAGATAATCATAATAACAACAACAATATTGATGTTAATAACAAGAAAACATCTACTCCTACTACTCCCACCACTCCTATCCCCCAAGTTTATGATTCGGATGTTATTGTTGATGAAGATGACAATGAAGATGACTATGAAATTTGATTACTTGAATTAAATATATATTTTTCAAAAGGAGGAAAAATTTTAAAAATTATTTTTTATTTTTTTATTTTTTATATAAATAGCATTAAAGAGAAATTGTAAATATTTATTAGAATTTTAAATAATTATAAAAGTAAATATTATTACCACATTACTACTATCAACATTATATTATTAGATACGAAAAATATAACTTTCAGAAATTGTGGAATATCTGACCCAACGTTGAGGAAGTGACAAATTATTGTTCTCATACACTTTTAATCGACGAATCTGAATATTTGAGCATGTGTAATTTGGGATATCAAATTCGAGACTTTTTTTTGCCCAAAAATGATCATGATTTATACAACATTAATAATAACACATTGATATAAATCATTCCATAACTTAGTAAAAAAGATCCAGTTTAAAGCTCACCTTATTGGCCCCATTTCCAATAATGACACAGGTGACAATGATTTAATACCAGTAATCTATTGTTTAACAAAATCAATTAAATAATTTTAAAAAATAATCTCATCAAGAATGTACATAATGAACACATCATTGCCAACCTTAATCTTGATTGATTGTTCAGTGCCACCTTTAAATTTAACAATAGTCCAAGTAACTTTTCTTAATTGATTATCATATTGAGCCGATTGATCAATTGATCCATCCAAATTTTCATTAGAAACACTAAAATAAAAACATATCTATGTAATATTTATTTTTTTTCCATATTTCCAAAAAGGAAAAACAATTATAATACCTTAAAGTTGCTCTTGGAACAGGTATAATAACTAAACATTTATTGACAATAAAATTATCAGGGATATCAGCTCGAACACGTATAGTAACATCGATTCTATTTGAGTCATCAGAAATATCAGAAATACTTGGGAACACTCGAAATGGTAATCCAAAATCACCAGAAACTCGATAACTATAAAATGGTATGAATGATAAAATTAGTAAGAGTTATTATTGTTTGGATTAATTAACAATTATGACTCACCTCATAGCAATAAATTCTCCCTCTGATGGAATTATTGTTAATCTTTTATGTTTTTCAAAGTCTAATAATATTATAATTTATTATTATTATTATTCTGATCATCATCATCATCATCATCATCATCATATTATAATAATTCTTAAATTTTCAATTGACCTGTAAAATCAACAGAGTCATGAAATTTATAATCATCAAGAGTAATCCCATAATGTTCATCTATGCTTTCATCAAAAAAATTTATAATAACATTATTATTAATTAATAATTAATAAATAATAAATAATAAATAATAAATATTAATTAACAAATAATAATAATAATAAATAGTATTAATACCAATGGAATTTACATATTGAGCAATTGTAAAATTATTATGTAAACCAACATGTATTTCTGAATTTTGTTGTAAATAACTCCTCACTTGAATCCCTCCATGTATCTCAGATTGAACTGTCATTCCCTAAAAATGTAAATAGATAAACATATCATATGATTCATATATACTATATATTTTACCTTCATCACATACATTTGATGAGAATGTTGCTACTAATCTTTCAATAATATCAACAAAAACTTCATTTTGTCTTGTGTTTTTATTATCTAATCGACCATAAGTTATAGGTTTACTACCAGAAGATCCTAAAATAGTTCCTGATGATTTTAACTATTATAATGGTATAATTACTTTCATATTTTCATACCATCATCATTATTAGAAAGATTGATTAAAAAATATACTTTTGCCAATGAATTTGTAATAATATTTTCTCGTTTAACTGACACTTGATCCTCATAAACATAATTGATCAATTGATTAGTTATTGTAGTCTGTGGATATCCATAATCCTAATTATTATAATCATTTTGTTATAGAATCAATGAAAGTGACCATGATGAGAAATAAAAATCAAAAATTGTCATTTTATATTACAACTCACAATCACTTCATTCAACAACTCATAAACCAAACTAGAATTTAATCGTATACTTTCTTCACTTAAAACACCACAAAATTCTTTAATCAATGCCACTATACAATCAAGTAATTCATAAACCATGAAAGGTGAAACATTAAATTTTGTTGTGCATGCAAAATATAGTCCTTGAACATTGGTAAATAGAATTTGAACTCCATCAACATTAAATGCTGGTGGCAAGCCTTGATCTAATATTCCATGTTCTTTATGCCAACTATGTATTCGTTCAAGAAGTAGATCTGCCACATCTTGTTGTATATCATAACGATCTAACAAATAATGAATTTTAATGTTGAATTGATAAATTTAAATCGAAATCGAAAAATGACTCACAATCATGAGATATAAGCATATCTCCACGTTGAGGCGATATAATAAAAATTTGTGAAATCATTTTGTTTATGATTTTTTTGATTCAATTGTATATATATGTATATAGAGTAAATTGGAGATTAACAAAAATAATTATTTCCTTTCAATACAGGTCATAATAAAAATAAATTATTGATATGCCAAATCTGGATGTTAGTGTATTACAATGAGAAGATATTAATATGATTTTTGTTCGAATGGCTAAAACCAATCATCTTGCATGATCAAATAAATGTGCAAATAATGTAATTTATTATTAGATAAAAATTAATTCGTTAAATGGAAAGAATCAACATACATAAAATATGGGTAATAGTAATTAATAGCCAGAATCCTGAATCATTTTTTATTTGTAGAAATTTAAATGACAAAACGTCTCACTTTAACTGTAAATCTTTGTTTCAGTAGGTGAAATAAAACCACATTCACAATATGGGCCTAAATGCAAGAGAATGGAGAGTAAAGGCGAGATACAACTAAATTGATTTACTACCTATCGAAGTCTTTAAAGCATTGTAATTAGTGGATTATAATTTATTATCATAATTACCATAGATCTGCTTTAGTGTTATTAACTTTATTATTATTATTATATTTAAAAATATAATAGTTTATTGAAAGATAACAAATATAACAGCTGATTTACAATGAGAAAACATAAGGTTTTTGAATAATATAATTAGAATCATTATTTAAATTTATAAAATATTAATTGGGAGTATATCAAATATTCTAGTTTTGGTTACAAATTTCTGATTGGCCAATTTAAATTTCACGCACAACGTTTAGTAAAATAATAAAAAACCCCGATTTTTAGTGAATTCATACAAAGTATGATATTTGTCTACTAAATTATTAGATAAAAAATTTATTCGAGTTCTTAGCCAGCTTAGCCGGCTAAGGTTTTTCTACCGGCTAACATCACCAGACAGAGTAAGTGAATACTGTAGTTTGGTTTTATTTTTAATTAATAAACAATTAATACTGGTTATTCTTCGTGAAACCTGGAAGGTGTTTCTTGATTCAAAAGGCTGAAAATTATTCCAGCATATAAAAATAGAATATTTGAACCATTTGAGATGAAACGTTCTGCTTCCAGCACAAACATTGGAACATTTTGTTTGAAATTGATTATATAATGGAATAAACGTTTTCTCGCATATTTGCATCATTTTTGGTGCATAACATGAGCATGACTATTTTGCATAATTTACTTTTGTTGCATGTATAGCCACGCACACTTACAAAAAGGACTTGATTGGTCACCTTTTGCAAAAATTTGATTGTCCCAAAATGGTTTCCTTGGACAATAGAAGCGTGAGTGTTAATCATCTACTTGACAAAAATTATTTTGAAGCTGATTTTTCTGAAATATATCTAATCAATGTCATATATACATTTGAAATGTATTTAAAAGAGGTGACTATCTTTTGGAGTGATGCTCATATAAATTCGTTGGACGTAATTCATTCATCGTTGACTAATCAATGTTAGAAGAGTATGGACGTTTAAACAAATGGCCAAAAGATCCTTACCGATGTAAAAGTATATATACGTATCCATGTATCAGTCAATTAAATAAAAATAAGATTGATCCTTTGCTATTTATTATGTATATTGCGTGTTTTATGTGAAAATTAAACTGGCCAATCAAAACACCATGCATTTATATTGGGTAATGACACGTTTAGAAAACATTGATTTTTTTACGCAGCAAAAAGACCTGGTCTTGTGTAATGAAATGTAATTGCATATTGACGAAAAGGAAAAAGAGGGAAAAGTTGATGAAAAGAAAAAATTGAAAAAAAAAAGTTGGCGAGAGAGAAAATATGACCATTTTCACTGAGATTTTTGTAATAATAATTTTTATTTTACATTTTACATTTAAAACATTACTTTACTCTTTTGTATGAGTCAAATTTGGATCATCTGAGGACATCTTCCTTAATTCATTCAACGAAATGCAGATGCTCTTACCAAACATCAATAATATTAAAAATTTCTACAACAGTTGGACGTTTATCTGGATTAGTATCCATGCATCTGTAAGCTAGTGTTACATTCTCAATTGCCAGAAATACAATTCGTGAAACTTGAAATCATTTGTTGCCAGAGACTGCAAGAGCATGTTTATGTACGGAGAGCTGGATTATTAATAAATTAGGGGATTAATTCTTCACAATCAAGTATTTTTCCTCTATTTGCACAATCCCATTCCATTGAAATTTCTTCTCTTCTATATATGTCATATTCTATTTTTTTTTTAAATAAAAAAAAAAATAATATATAATTCTCAAACCACTTTCTAATAAATAATTACCCTACTCAGTTTGATTCATTGTTTTATTGTCACCTTTAATCAGTGACAATTTTGTTATATATAAATAAACATATTAGACATTGGATAATGCTAATTGTTGTTTATAAATTAAATGACTTGATTAAACGCCTCTGTTCATACCTTCTTCTACTTTACTGCCGATCTTCAAGTAAAAATGATAAATCCTTCTTGAATTATTTTTTTCGTGAACCAATCTCCAGAACTGTTAGAAATCGTCACTAGAAGTTCCGATTTATCTTGTAAAATGAATTTACACCAATGGTAATATATGTAATATATTAATGGATGGAGGCGATAGTTTTGTTATTGATTCAAGAAATAAAACCACAATTAAACATTTAACAAAAATTCTTACCTTCACAAGTGAATTTTCTGTGATCAAAATACCCAAGAGAAATTTAAAATTGTTTGGTAAAAAAAAGAGTTGTAGCTGAGTGTTTTATTTGGTGGAATGGAAATGGGACACATAAATTAGGCTTAAATTCTCAATCCATTATAAGCAGGATCTATTATAAAAAGATCCATGAACTGTATATCAGAAAATAATAGAGAATCAATAATGAAAATAATAATGAAAATACAGGATAGAGTGATCAAAGATGGTAATGCTCACCAATGGCTTCCCTTGCAATTGATTGTTCTGGCAGTCCTTTGTCTTCTATACCATATACTGTTATGAATAAGTAACCTTTATATTTTAATATTTATAAGTATAATTAAAATCATTATATTTTTCTCTTTCAAAATAAATAAACATTCTTATCTTTTTGTTTTTATTTAATCTTTTCCTTGAATGTGAATATCTTTGTCTCCAATGTTATATTATGCCCATTACATTATTCATGACAAATATGCAATGAATTTGATATAACAAACAATTGCATCAACTCAGTAAATAAATAATACCAAGACCATGCATAAATAAAATTTAAAGTTAATAACCAACATTTATAATACTCCTGCCATTAATCTCTTGTGTACTGTAAGTGGTATAAATGGATGAACATATTATCAGTTGATTATCGCTTGGTGCTGTGAGTAATGTTGATTTTATTTTCAAAAAAACTGTTCATTAGATTAATTTTCATCAAAATTGTGTTAATCTAATATAAGTATTATATATAATTTATATATAATGTGCTGACTATCCTAAACACTGTTTGTACGTGGAAATATATAGAATACAAAATTTTGAAATTTCCTTTGACATAATAAATTTTGTCATCACACATTTCCCAGTTCCCCAGAGCATACATAAAATCAAAACCAACTCCTCAACACCTAACTGACAAGATGTCTTGTCAATTCCAACTCTATTGCATACCTGTATAGGGGCAAGCAAACAAGGGACGGATTTCACTACTTGCCATTGTATTCTCAGCATCCTGAATAAAGAAACTTCCAACTTTCTGAATTTATGAAGGGTAATTGTACTACTATACTTCGCTATAACCAGGACTGGTGCCACCTTTTTGCAGTTCTGGACTTTCTCATAAACTCTTTGAAGATGAAATCATGCAAGTTAGCTGACTTGTACCAAAAAATAGACTTTTTCAAAATTATGTGGGGTAATTATATTGCTATACTTCATATCAACCAGGAATAAGTTCCACCCATTAACATCTAAGGTTGCTTGCTGAAACCTCTTAATGACTGCTGAAACTCTGCCGAAATTCTAATAAACAATTAGTGTGTAACCTGCCAAAACTCTGCTAATTGTTGAAATCCCTAAATGTGAAACTCTGCTGAAACTCTAACAAACAATTAGTGTGTTACCTGCTGAAACTCTGCCAACTGATTTCCAGAGGAGTTTTGGCAAGCAACCATATTAACATCCTGGACTTTTTCATAAAATCTCCAAGAATAAATCAACAGTACAAGCAACTTGTGCCGAAAATAAAAAATAAAGGAATGTTTTGAAATTTTTTTTAATGTTGCATTACACACAACATAACAATTTTATTGTCTATTTTTTCCTAATATGGAAATGATCCTTGCAAAAATTTATCACATGACAAATAAATTTTAAAAGAAAAACATTATTAATTTTCGTTCCTTATATATTACCACTAAAAAATATATGATTCCGAAAAAACATACATATTACACTCTCCCTATCTATAACAGGCCTTCCATGGTAAAACTCAACCACAACAAACTTCTCTTTGCTATGATTAATTTCTCTATATAATGAACATTATTATAGTGAATGAAGGCACAAAAAATATTTATAGTTCATTATAGAGAGTGAACTTTATTTTTATATTTTATATTGAAAAAATTAATTAATATCAAGAAAAAGGAATTTAGTATGAAAATCAGCCTGACTATAAGTGTCATATTGGAGCAGAATGTAGTGATTATACATACAGCCCAAATTGGTTTGGTGATTTCAATGGTCAAAATTATTTCAATTTTGATGGAAGAAAGTAGAAATTAATTATGGCACTCACCATTAAAAACATAGGTGTAATACCCCTTTACGACACATGTAACCCCATTTATGACAGTGTCAAAATACTTTGGGCTGCATGTATGGTAGTGATGTTAAAGAAATCTAACTCTCTCAGTCACTTCTTTGTATAAACAAATTATTCTGGACCATAAATACTAGTATGGACTAATTCTAAAATGCTAGAATAATCTATAAAGTCAAATCCATAAATTTCAGATAATGTAGAATGGACTATTCCATTGCCTAGTAAAGGTAAGATATAAATAAGGAATATGGTTCAAATCTATGGTCCAATAATGATGTAAAGGCTGAATTGATTATGAAGAGAAGAAAAATAAAGGTGAATTAGTGGAAAAGATATAAGATCAAAATTAAAGGTATGTATAAAACTCTGAACAAGTTGAACTTTAAAGCAATTCGATTTAAAAAAAATGGATTTGATTTGATTTGAATCAAACAGATTTTTAAATTGATATTATTATTATATCTTAAGAATTTATGTGCTTATACTAGAATAAGGCAAACCCAGTCAACAAATCCATTCACCTATATAACAATTATGTACAGAATAGGTGCTAACTAATATTGAATAGATGGGAAATGAGTACATATGGAAAACCATATTTTTGATATGGAATGTAGAAAAATGCATTTGATATAAAATATATATGGAGAAATGCACTTTCCTTACCTAAAAATATGGAACTAGCATGGGATATTTTTGGTCTGGAAAATAAAAAAGGACCATAATGTGAAGACATTGCAAAGAGTTTACTATTGTTTTTGAAACTTTAAATAACAATATCTCAAAATGTTGCTATGCAAATTGAGTAGCTAAAAAGTT